TAAAGTCCATTTTCTGTTCCACTACAGGTTTTTAAAATAAGCACTTTCTTCAGATGACAATGCTTAATTTTGAACTTGAGACCGGCTGAGACCGAGCTCCAATTGATTTGAGGTTCATTAAAATCCCCAAAAACGAGAGCATTTGACCGTTTAAAAATAATCTGAGCTCATTCACCTGTTGAACAACAGCGTGAGGGTCACTTCAAGGGGGATGATAAACTGTCAAGATATCGTGGCTTTGAGAGGCCGGTGCCCTTATGATCAGCCATATTGATTCAATACAGCAGTTAATTTGGCAGTTTATTTTCTATAACTTGTAAGTCATTCACAATAAATGTTGCTTTGCCTTCACGCCTTCTGTTTTTCGGGTCTCTGTGGACCAGTTGAAGGCCAGGAAGCATGATCTCCTTATCAATAACCTGTTCGGAAAACCGTATTTCTGTTATTGAGATACATTCTGGTCTGAGGTTGTAGATAGATGGTAGGTAACTCACCTGGTTTTCAAAGTACACTTTGTTCGTTAGTCTACAAGAATATAAGTTAAGAATTCATGCGAAGTTTTAGAACCCCTACACAGCCTCAGTTGCATGTGTGGTGATTTGAATCGGCTTGATCCCAATGGGGGGATAGAATGTCGTTTTACTATCTTACTATTATAGATTGTCAAGCCGTGTTCTCTGTTGGTTCGCCGTGTTTCATATTCAAGGACAGGTTCGCGGCGCCGCATTCTTTCTGCAGGTGGGTAGTACGGCTTTAGATACACTCATATTTGTAAATTCTTCAGTCGCGAACACCTGAACATGATTTGCTACGTCCGCTTATTGCTATCTAAGATGATATTAAGCAAGCTTTGCAGCGTCTGTGGATCGGGATTTGTACGACCACCAAGGCCAAACACCTGAAGGACTGTGATATCTTTCTTTGGTTGCAGCATTTCATTTAGACTCTTCTAAGTCAACAGTTAGTCTTTCCCTAGGGGTTCTATCGGGGCAGTCTAAATGACCTCGAATTATGATGCAATGGTCATTGATAAACATTCCTCTGATTAATGTGGTTTAAGCATCATTGGCTGGTACTATGGCCTCGTCAAATTAACCTGACAAGGAAGAAGCATCTTCCATATTGATTTTTCGTCCCTTTGATTTCGTCCGCAGGTCTTGTTAATACATCACGATTCGTTAAGCTTTGTGGTTGATGCGCAATGCTTCCCATTAGGGACCTCTGTGGTGAATTTGACTCACATTTATTAAAGGCTTCCTCAAACTCGGTGCATCAATCTGTTTACGTGGGAATTCGCAATGACAGCTTATTTTGCCCTGCATCCATAACCATATGTGTTTGGGCTAGTTAATATTCTCTCTACTTTTCGATTTGGAAATGTTTATCATGTCTGGAAATTATTATGGTCGAGCTTCCTGCGTCCCATTCCTTACGAAGTATCTGTTGACATATTTTTATCCATTTCATTTTGTACATGAAAATGCTTTGCGGACAAGACTGTTGTCCTATCTTTCGTTTTCTGGTGATATTTACTTGTGGTCTTAAGTATCATTTTCTCCTTATTCCCTTTTTCGTCGGAGACCGCTTCTTGACTATTAATAGCGCATGTCCTATACACCGAATTTCTTCTTTCTGTATAAGCTATTGTCCCCATGCGAAAATTGCAACACGAAGTACATCTGGACTTCAGTTGATGTAATCACCTTCAGCTCAGTGAGGAGAGCGATTGAGTCTCATTATTCAAGACTGCTTTCTGGGACTCCTTTCTTTTCTTCATATGAAAGGGTATGTATTTGGGCGCGAGAAACTTTGATCGGCCCGACCAGGGCAACCCTTTGCTCTTTAATATGTCTCTATGTATTCGCAGATCCCGTTTCTGCGCAGGCCTCTCGACCATAATATGTTGCCGAATTGTGTTTCATACAACCCGCGGTTGACAGGGATTTGGCGAGACGAACAGTATTTCAACATGGTCGATGGATGATCCGAGTCCTCCTCCAAGATTTCCACGCGAAACGTCGCAAGGACCGTCAAAGGATTGACCAAGAAAAAAAATGATGCTGTGAGTTAATGTGGGCGGTCGTTACAATTCTGATACTGCACAGGATAGCTGAACACGCCCGCGAAGAGAGAATGATACGCGACGCAGCACTGAAGAACACATTCCAAAAGCTGCTCAATCCAACGTCGCCAAGAAACGAAAAATTAATGTACAACTTGTCGTCAAAGGAGCTGATGAATTATCAGATGCAGGTTTAAAGGCACGAAGCTTCATTTAACGCAGCTGACGTCAAAACTGTTAACATGATTGCAGCAGTGGAATCAATCCTTAGTTGGACGATGTCGACCTAGGAGACCAAGTGCCTCATCCGACACCAAGTGTCGTCTCACCTAATGGCCCGCGGGCCGCGGGTAGTGCTTTCCAAGTACGGAAGTGATGCCCTTAGAGAACTCAAAACCAAAAAGACTTGGTCATTATGCCAGTGGACAATGTGTGCCACGGGTGTACTGGACAGAACAAACTACCTTCAAAAAGCCAAAACTTTACTGGATGACCGATATTTCTACGTGGGACAAACCCTTTGAAAGTGCTAAAATGCAAAATTAATGCTACAATGTTGGCTATGGAGAACTCAGATGCAATAACACCGACAAACAGGCGCATGGTGAGACCCCAAAATACGGCTTTCGCCAGATTCTACGGGCAGGTGATGGAATTGCAACGATTAACGACTCGAAAGCGAACCACCAAAAATCATTTTACCAAGTGCATCACTCCATAATGTAGCAGGGGATTAGGCAAAAACGCGGCGACGACATTCTTGACATACAGAAACCCCTTGTGCATGAACTGCTGGTTGTTGTCTCGGGCGATTGGCTCGAGCAGAAGTTTGAAACGTCAGACGAATAAAGTAATCCTTTCAGCGATAGTATCTGCTTCTTTGCTATTATCCTATTCGTTTAACAGTGAGTATGCAAGACAATGTTTTAGTCAAAGACATGAAAAGGTCATTGATATAACAAATAAATATTGATAATGTTTATGCGGATAACACAAAACACGATGTTAAAGCCTCAGCATATCCGTGCAGACGAGAGCTAGACGAGGAAAAGTAACGATAGCAATAACACTCGTCGATGAGGCTAAAACATGCCGTGTCTGGTGGTTTATGTGAGGACAGCGATATTGAGATTTCCTTGGCTAGCAGGTCATATAATTGCTGAGGGCGTTTTCAAAGCATTTTAGAGCTCTGCTTATTGTTGCGTTTGAGACTACGGTAAAAGAAAAGCAAACAAACCCAATGTTAAACAATGTGAGATATCAGGGAACAAAATGCATATTTTGAAGGGATTAATACAGACGAACAATGTAGTGCGACAAACTCCATGAAAGCATTGTTATATCCTCACATACACGGACGGCCTACTATCGTAGCCAAAGAAAAGTGGAATGTGGGGATTTTAATCAAACTGCGCGAATTGAGGACAAAGGAGAACATATATACATATTAATCTACTAGTACCTCCAGAAAACCACAGATGGAACAAATATTTGCTTTTTAGTCAGCGAAGAAACGTATCTAGTTCACGTAGAGTGAACGCAGCCATTGCAATCATATAAGTCTACGGACCTAATCACATACCGATATTTGCATATATCGACAGCATTCAATTACAAACTGCCTGCAGTAAGTGGACAAGTGTGAACATTCGCATTTTACGTAAAACGTCAAATAGAAGCCTCATGTCTTTACATTTAAAAAAATTCGAAGGCCTGTCCGAATTTGTTTTCACTGAGGTATTCATGAATGTTTTACATAAAAGAACCCCGACAAATTGTTTAGCGATATAACGAACGTCATTGACCTCTCAATACGGAATCCGATCGAAAATCTGGAGGGGTGTTTTCCAAAATTTGTCAGTCGTTTGGTAGGTTGTAAAATGTATTGACGTATTATAATAAAGCAGTGTAACTAGAGGTTCGCATCAATCTACGGTGATTATCAATTTCATTTTCGCCCTTCTATAGTGAAATGTTTTTGAACAGATTTTAACAAAAATATACTTGATAACCATAAAGGCAAGCTACACACTCTCATTCGCGTCAACTGTCTTCTTATGGTGTCTTTTGTCCGCCATATCTCAGCCATTGGACTGAAAGTCACACACGCTTTTGCAGTTGAGTGTATGAAAAGTGTTCGAAGAAAACACATTCAGCATCCCTCACATTTACAAACATTGCTTCGTTAAATTCCATACGAGCCAATAAAGTTTCATATTTAAAAGAAGACGAAAGCACAATCACTGGGACGTTAGATTTATTGGCCTCAGCTTTCCAACTGGAACTGGAGTTCATCATCAGAGACTGCTAGCGTGCACCAACGTGTGAACATTTATATCGTTGTTCCGTGCGGGGGACTACGTCAGTGGTTTGGTGTGGTTTATGCCGCCTGGTCCACAAAGGTCCACGGCGTAGTGACGCCCTTTGTACTTCGCGGCGATGTGAGCTGCGCTACATGGCTGCGTGGGCGGACTGCGTGAAAACACGCAGGCATATCAATGCGTCTATTGATAGAGTTGGTGTCGGACACCCACGCCTCCAACAGTTCTCGCCCTGTCTTGTTGCCGGCTCACGCCAATATCCGCGTGTGTGCGACGTCGAAATCATGGCCTTCCTCCAGCGTGTGAGTGGCGACTTGAGATAGTGGGCCGCCCGTTCGCTTTCAAGTATTTGCGAGTCGGGACGTCGTCCTGTTTGGCCTGTGTAGTAGCAAGATCAGTTATTGCACGCGATTTGATAGACTACGCCCGACTGTTTACCTACGTCAAGCCGATCGGTCATTTTCCTGATCCAGCTACGCATGGCCGCCACCGGCTGACGAGCGATACCCACCCCTTACTCTGACGCAATGCGTTCTGTATCCTCGGACACATTCCTTATTTAACTGCAACTGAGCATAATTCGGCCGTCCGAGAGGCCATGGGCGTCCCCTCTGCATATGGTGCCCAAGGCGACATCAGACAACTGGCGGCCCTGTAGTGACTATCGCGCCCTCAACAATGCGACCGTCCCGGATCGTTATCCCGTCCCTCATCTTCAAGATTTTGCTAGAGCTCTTTTCGGCAAATCGGTTATCTTGAAGATTGACCTTACTCGGTCCTTCCAACAGATTCCTCTCGTGCCTGAGGATGTTCCCAAAACTGCCGTCACCACACCATTCGGCCTGTTTGAATTTATTCGCATGCCATTTGGTCTTCGCAATGCTGCCCAAACATGTCAAAAGGTTCATTGACCGAGTCCTACGTAATCTCCCTTTTATGCACGCCTACATCGATGACCTCTTGGTGGCCAGTCAAAATGCCGAGGAACACATAGAGCATCTTGCCTAAGTGTTTGACCGCCTCGATCAGTTTGGCGTGGCCAATAACCCTTCGATAAGTGTTCTGAGTGTGCCGTCCCTTGATTTTCTTGGTCTCCATGTCGATGCACAATGTTTGCGTCCCCTCTCTTCCAATGTTGAGGCCATTCGTGACTTTACTCCACCAACCTCCAAGCATCAGTTGCAACGTTTCCTTGGCTTGGTAAACTTTTATCGTCGGTTCCTGCCGAACTGTGCCGACCTTGTGCTGCCACTCACCAACTTGCTCTCTGGTCCCAAGGGTCCTCTTGAGTTACGTGGTCACACGCTGACTGCTTTTGAGAGAATAAAGACCTTCCTTGCTGATGCTACCTTGCTCACTCATCCTGTTTCAGAAGCCCCATTGTCCCTGATGGTTGATGCTTCGACCGTTGCCGTAGGAGCAGTCCTCCAACAGCATATCAACGACTCGACACGACCGTTGGCATTCTTCTCCAAGAAGCTTTCACCTGCCGAGACGAGATATAGCACGTATGGCCGTGAACCTCTTGCCATTTACCTAGCCGTAAAACATTTACGACTCTTCATTGAGGGTCGTGACTTCACAATTTTCACAGAACACAAACCACTTACGTTTGTCGTCCGATCCCATTCTGACAAATATAACCCGAGAAAGATTTCTCATTTGGATTACATCTCGCAATTCACCACCGACATCCGCCACATTGATGGCCCGAAGAATGCGGTGGCCGACATGCTGTCCAGACCTTCCCTCTCGACGTTTCACCTCTCACACGGCATTGATCTTGGTGCTATGGCGGCTGAAAAAGACTTGTTGGATGCCCTGGCGATGAGTTTGTTGACAGTCTTCAATCCTTTGTGACGTACCGACTCCTTTTCATCGCCCTTATGTGCCTGCCTCGATGTATCGAGCTTTTTTTCAAACTCTCCACGGACGCTCCCATCCTGGGATTCTAGCCTCACAGAAGCTCCTCGCGGAAAGGTTCGTATGGCCTGGGTTGAACAAGAATGTGAAAGCTTGGACACGATCATGCCTTTGCTGTCAACGAAACAAGGTTCAACGCTGCAATAAGTCTCAATCGGGCACGTTCCCCAGCCCCGATGCACGGTTCAACCATGTGCATTTAGATGTCGTAGATCGTTTACCTCCTTCCAATGGCTATATTCACCTTCTCACCTGCGTTGATCGCTATACCCGTTGGCCTCAAGCGATTCCTTTACCGAATGTGCAAGCTGAAACAATTGTGAAAGTCTTCGTCTGTCGTTGGGTCGCCATATTCGGTGCGCCATCCATGATTACGAGAGATCGAGGCGCGCAGTTTGAGTCCAAACTTTTTCAAACTCTCCTCAACTTCCTTGGCTGCACACGTATTCGGACGAAGGCCTACCACCCAGCTGTCAACGGCATGGTTGAGCGTTTCCACCGCCAGCTGAAAACTGCACTGCGTGCCGCAGAAGATTCCGAAAACTGGTCAGACAATGTATCCGTTGCACTTCTTGGCATTCGTGCGGCACTGAAGTTAGACTTGGACAGTAGCGCAACCGAATTGGTTTTCGGCACTACCCTCCGACTCCCTGGTGGGATGGTCCCCCAACCTCTCGTGGTGCCGAAGAGACCCTCGAAAATTTTGTGCATCGTCTGGGACTATTCACGCGCTCGCTTTCCCCAGTTCCACCTCGAGCTCCATCGACCGAGCCTTATGTTGAAAAAGGTTGTGCCAACTGCACCCATGTGTTCGTTCGGTGTGATCGTGTGCGGAAGCCGTTTGAAGCACCATACGAAGGACCGCTCTTTGTGCCTGCACGTAACAGCAAGACCTTTCGGATCCTGCGAGGTGACGAAGAGGACGTAGTCAGCATCGACCGGATCAAGGCTGCTGTTGCAGAGGAGTCCCTGGACGTGTCTCAAGGACAAGCATGTGCTCACCCCTTACCTCCTCCCACTCCTTTTCAACTTTCCCCATCTATCCCTCCGTCCCGTATACTTCATCTTCCGTCTTGTTCGCAGCATCAAACTGCAACCTCTTCCTCCACCCTTAACTTGTCCACTACAACACCTACTCAGCTGCCTCCAACAGTACCTCCCGCATATATCACCCGCAGTGGACGTCACGTTCACTTTCCCGATCGTCTAGTTACTCATTTCTTCTAGACCTTTGTATGTCCTTCGGCGTCGTTAACGCCGCCCTCCGGTCTCTGAGTGGGGTACTGTGCTGACGTACCTGACCACTTGACCTTTGACAATCCCGTCACGTTTGTTTTACTGTAGCATTTGTTTTAACGTGACAAGGACTCCGCCGCTTGTAAGCTTCTCGCCGCTTGCATGCTCTCTGGTCAGGTCGTTGCTCATTTTTAATATTAACTTTATTCACTTACTGGCCTTCCTTACCTCTCTCCGTTTATGAGGTTAGTAAGCCGTAGTTCGTTTGTTCGCGGGCACGACATAACTTACGTCACACAATTGTTCCTTCAGATGATATTATTTGGGTTGGATATTTAATGAGCTTTGTGTCCACATAAAGACTGCAACTTTGACATTAAAAACCTTAAGCATTTAGACTGTAGCCATTGAGCCGTTTACCGGATCTGGTGAAGTTACGGATGAAAAAACTATGTCGGAGAAACTGGGAGATTAATCCGTACGCGAATTGCCGAGCACGCAGCAGCAGTGAGGCGGGGAGACGCTAGCTCTCAAATGGCGGCACACTCGACGGGACCCGGATATATTTTCGAATTTCAAGTGACCGAAATCCTCGCAAAGGGTTCCAACCACGTGAACCGCGAGCTGCTCAAGTCATGGTTCTCAGACCCGCAATCCATCAACAAGCACAATGACCTCCCAGTACCATATTTAGTGCTGAGGCTTTCCCTTGGCAGGGGAATCAGTCACGTGGGCAGGGCGGAGGCGAGCAACTATCCCAGTGGCAGTGAGCCAGTTTGCTGAGCAATCGTCACACCAGCATCCAGCACAAATGACGAAATCGCGGCCATTAACAACTCGGACTCGGACCGACAAACCACCATCACATCAATTACGACCCCAGCGGTGATTGCGAGAACTGTTAATTGCAGTGCACATACGGTCCCACGGCAGCCACGTGCTATAAATACTGCACTCCTGGTACCATAATCACCTTTAGCTGCGAATGTCTCTGATGATGGATTCGAGTGAGAATCCGAAAGGTCAGGCCCATAAATTTCTTGTTCCGGTGATCGCATCTTCGTCTTGTGAACTGCCTCCTGGAAGTCGCCTATTCGCTTCTATCAGGAAATTTTTTTTTCTATAACCGTCAAAATATTACGCAATAGATGTGGTGCATGCAATAAAAAAGAGTGCAATCCTAAAAAAGTTAAGTAGAAACTGAGAGTCCGCCTATTATAATGTAATAACAATTTAACTAAGAACAACAATGAAAGCGCTTATATCCCTAAGCAGTAATGACAAACTGACGCTACAGACGCATACAAGCAACTACGGAATTGCAAACCGTATTCGTCGCTGTGCATCTGCAAATGTCTGAACACAGTTTATTTTAACAGTCTTGAGTGCGGAAACAATCTGAAATACTGAAAACGCATGTATTCCGGTTAGATGGTAGTTGGTGGCCCTCCTGGTGTGGGAAACTCCCAGTTACCTGTCTTACAGGACAGGTGGTATTAGAGGCTATATGGGTATTGCAAATGAGTGGAGGCGTAAATGGTGCTTGTATTGTATGTCTGGAATTGACGCTTCTGCCAAACTGAAAGCCTAATTTAAATAAGAGGAAAACTGCAGGAAGGGTTTGCAAATGAGCATGGCTAAATACAACGGTATGCGGCATAAATGTATTTTTGCCCCAGCTTCGAAATAATAGCTACTGAAGGTGAACAACCAATAGGAAGAAGGCAGTGCGTCTGAAGGTCATTCCGCGGTATGTGCTATAGTACTCTAACTGACAGATTGGACAAGAGAACACGAGAATCAAGCAGCGGCACGCACGACGGCATAACGTAAGCGGGGTAAGACTTTAATGCCAAGAATATGTCTGGGCGTAAGAGAAAATCCGCAAATAATTGTTTATTGCCACCGTGGCCACATTTCGGATTAAAACTCTGACAGTTGCAGTGTGTTATTCGTAAAGCTGTATTATACAATGTAAAGAGGAATTATCACTGTGTGTATAGAGTTCCATTTCGCTGTGCTTGCAGAGCCCAGTCTCTTAGAAGGCGAAGGAAAGCAGGACCGTAAGTCGATAGGCCGACAGATTATTCGCGGATCCTGGAAATAATCCAGTCGCCCTACCTAGTGCAGTATCTGCAAACGAAAGGACTACTGACCTGCAGGGTCTTATTTAGATGCAGGAAAGTCATACCATTACAAATACTGCGAAAGCACACGGATGGTTATGCCTTCAAATAAGATCTGTGTATTGTGGTTATCAGACTTAAGATCCGTCTATTGTGGTGATAAAAGAACACTGCGAGTGAACTCAGTGTTTGAGGGGACGCACCTGTCACTGCATAAGACAATGAAAACCTGAATTGCTTTTATTGAAGGCATTGGGGTGATCAGATGTGCAACCGCAGTTGGCTTAATTAACAAAACCGCAGTGGAGTGGTACGGTGTGTGGCGAGACGTCTGCAAAAATGCCCTTCTACAAGAGGTTAGCCAAATTGGTGGACCCGATGTCGAAGTTCAAGTCGATGATTTCGCGGCGTAAGTACAATGTTGGGCGACTTAAAAAGCAGAATTGGATTATAGGTATGTGAACAGGGCATCATTACTCCATCGTAGGTATGTATGATTCGTCTAAAAAGAAGGCACTTTTCGATCGAAGCTAGCCGTCGTTAAGGGCTGTCATAAAGTAACAGATTGCGCCGGGGAGTGTGATAGTTACTGATCAATGGAAGGGCTATACGCGTTTGGTGGATAAAGGATACCGTCATTTAACGGTCAATCATTCGGTAAATTTTGTGGAAACTTGTTAGTAGGAAGCACGCGAAAGCAATTGAAGTCTACTGGAGTAGGCAGAAGAAAAAATTGCGTGAGCACGGTCCGATCCGTGGACGGAACATCTGGGCCCATGTAGACGAAGGCCAATACCTCCTCTAGTATGGCCTGAAGGCAGGCAATTTGCCTCAGGCATGGAAATTGTTCTTGAGGCATATTGCGGACGCCTATCCGGTTGGTGACCGTACTTGTTCAGCTGATGATGAAGTGCAGCTGACTCAGAGGTAAGCATTGGTACTGTTGACATAGCCCATAATGTTAGGTAAATGCAGGCGCATTGATTGCCGCTGCAGCGCAGTACCTAAAGGATGGACAAACCCGAAGGAAACCCGTAGTCGAGTGAACACATTGAAAGCCAATAGAAATTTCAGCCCTTTTTCATGTCAATAGAGATATCATGTCTATTTTAACTGCTGGCCTCCTTTCCTATGCTAAGTAGGTAGTCCACCAACCTGGCTAAGACCGGGCAAAGCGATTCCGCCCCAGTGCGGAACTGGAAGAAGGGGTAGACTGGATAGGAGAAACCGCAAGCTATCCCCGCAAATGATCGCTAGCGGACTAAACTGCAGCCGGTCCTGATCGCAAGGACGGGAAGTAAACACTCCGGCTCTGACTGGCGTATGAGACGCCTTGCTGCTGTAGTCTGAACCCAAGAGGTAGTAAGTGCGCGATGTGGAAGGTTAAGTGCGCCCAGTTCAAACCCAACAGTGTCGAAGCGTGGGGGGAGGGAGGTCGTAGTGCCCTAAACTGGAAGTGCAGGAAAGGACCGTTAATTGGCCATGGCGGTGTTAGCAAGTCGTCCCGGTTTTCACCCAAAACCGTGATACGAAATACAACCCCGCTGTTCGTTAACACGAGGGAGGTGGAGAACAACACTCTGTCAATGCGACTGATGCAGTGGATGGAATAGCGGTAGACACCCTATCTGAGCGCCGGTCGTCCTTTCGTACACGATCTCACCGGACTCTGCAGGAGGTCCGACGTAAAAAGACCCACGGACGCAGGCAAACCGACAAAAGTTAGACCCGCACCAATCCGCCTAGGATGGTAATGAGAAACATGATGAATCCTAATCCGCCTAGGATAAATCTTTCGCCTTTTACTAACGATTTACGTGTTGGGGGTGCAATGCAATGAATCTATATAGGCACTTTTTAAGCGCGTCGTTCTGGGGCGGTTAAAGTGAACAAGAAAGTCACCCTGACAGGGCTTCTGCGCGTGCACTCCCATACATAATGAGAATGTTATCACAGCTATTTAGATAGAGCCAGTAGGTAAAATTAAAAAATCCGTAAGCAGGGCTACGAACTAGCACCCTACCGGAAACCGGGCTGAAATTGCAGACCCGTCTACGTGAGCACAAATTGGCAACTCGGAGACTGAACTCAATCTCACAGATTGCGGCTCACATCGGGGAAACTGGCCACAGTTTTGATTTCCAAGGATCAGCCCTCGTAGGCAGGAGCAGCCCAAGCAAAGAACGTCTCACACTTGAGGTTTGGTACTCAGATGCCAACTCCATGAACAGGCATCTAGACCTTCCTCCGGCATATAAAGTCCTGCGTCACTACGTACGCCGAGACGAACACAAGACAGTCATACGTCGCCTAAGTCTACCAAAATGTCGCTATAGTCATCAGGCCTTATACACCAAGGAAATGACCTACTCGACGTTGCCAGTCACAATATTGTTAAGTTGTAAGTGGGCTTTGGATCGTCGATGGGCAACAAGACGCAAGCAAGCTGAATGACCTTTCTCAAATAGGTCTCGGATATAGGCAGATCGATAGGTAATAGCTCAGGCCTAGTATGTGGAATCACGAGGCATTCTCTATGAAAGGGCGTAAGCAGGCAGACTGTGTGCCTGAACGACTAATCTTTATTGACTAATCGGTCGGACAATTGTGTGTAGCCTGGACTGTGCAAGGCGAAGGAGAGGTTTCTGTCTTACGGGATCGGTGGGAAAGGGGGTTTTTAGGGTGGGGTAAATGGGGAACCCATCGAAGAGTAAGAAAAAAAGTAAAAAAAGGGCTTTAGAAGGTAAATAATAAAGTTTGTTTCAGGTGAAAATGTGCCGAAAATTCAAAAAACGAAGCCGTAACCAATAGGAGCAAGATACCCAAGGCCCGGGAAGACGGATTGCCCGTTAGCCTAGCTGCTGGTTACCCGGCGCGTCCACGGTTGGCGGATAGCTGCGAAATTAGCAGACCCAGGTATGACGAATAAGCAGTCGCGGACCTGCAGCGACATTGCTACCAGGGTGGGGTGGGCTGAAGTCTACCACGCTGAAAGCCTTATAAAATGCCGCAAAGCCCAATGACGGCATTGTGACATGGCGACCATAAACCGCCATTAAATAAGTTTACTTGCCACCGCTGCCTTGTGGTTAGGTTTTTAAGCCAAAGCGCTAGAGGTGACAACCTCGAACAGACAATCCGAGCGGGTGTTGGGGACCCGCCCGTATTCGAAATTCCCAAGAAACCTCATGCAACATGTGCGATCACAGTACTACGACCCATGCTACGGCGTCCGCGGGAACCGACGAGCTCCGCAACCCTAGTCCAGTGGTGCGGGCAAATAGTATGCGAGCTGGACTACTCAATCGTGGACGGACTCTCGGTATTGGATGCTGGAATGTACGAACGTTCCTGGACCCTGGTACCCAAAGTCTAACCGCACGCAGCCTTCATCAGTACAACGTGGATGTCTGCTGTTTGTCTGAGGTACGACTCCCTGACTCGGGCTCTCGTGAAATAAAGATCCCGGGAGTCAAATCCCACTTCACTCTGTACCACAGCGGCCCCCGTGATTCCTCTGGTCGACACGGTGTGGCGATCGCCCTATCACAACAAGCCGACCTTGCACTACTTGCTTGGGAACCAGTAAATGACCGGATGGCCTACGTGCGACTGAAGGGTCACTTCATGAACATCTCCATCTTCGCTGTGGACGCACCAACTTCGGCTGCCGAACAGCGCGATAAAGAGGCGTTTTACTCTCAGTTGCAAGCGCTAGTTGAAAGAATGCCTCGCCGCGATCTGCTGATCGTTGCTGGCGATTGGAATGGTCGAACTGGACCTGGCGACCCCACAACCAGTCATCTTCTTGGCCGCTTTGGGCTTGGTTCCCGATGTGAAAATGGTGAGAAATTACTGAAGTTCGCTGATCTAAACCGACTGCTTGTCACCAACACATGCTTCCAACATCGCAAAAAACATCTGCTGACCTGGTATTCAAACGACGGTCGCATGGCCAGTCAGATTGACTTCATACTAGTCAGCTCAAGGTTCCGCAGCTGGGTTCACGATAGCAGATCGATGCGTGCTGCCGAGACTGGTAACGCCCATGGGTCGGACCATGTCCTCGTCCGTACACGCCTGAAAGTTCATCTCTCATCCTCACCAAAAATCACCACGTCCTAGACGCCTCAATGTCGCAAAAATCCGGCAAGCCAGCACTGCCGAGGCCCTAAGCAGAGAAATCCGGACCTTTTTAACGGCTCGAGCCGACGGAGTAGTCAGTAACCAGTGGTCGTCACTGAAGACATCAGTCTATGGGGCAGTTGAGGAAATCCTTGGATACACCCAGCGACGCCGCAGTGACTGGGTCAGTGGAAGAACTCTGCAGTTGTCTGCTCAGGCGGCTAGAGCCACGTCCCGCAACGATGACTTCTTCCGCCAAATTCGGAAGATGACGGCAAAATCGGCCAGGGATGACCGGAAACAATATTGGGCTGAAATAGCGACATCCATGGAACAGGCCTCGAACGTTGGTGACACTAGAAAGCTCTTTCGTCTGATCCGCCAAGTAAGCGGTAAGCCCTCTACACTGAGTGACTCTGTTCGCGATGTGAACGGCGGCTTTATTGCTGACAAATCGGCCAAAGTCGAGCGCTGGCGTGAGCACTTTGAGCACCATCTCAACTTCGATACCCAACCTGCATCGCCCTTGTTCTCCTCCTCAGCGGAGTTTCTTCCCTCTCCTACCTATGCAGTGCCATGCGATCCCCCCCTCCGAAGAAGAAGTCGACGATGCCATACGAAAGTTGCGCAACAATAAGGAACCCGGAGATGACGGTATACACGCTGAAATCTTTAAGTCTTGTGTCCACACTCTGGCGCCCTGGCTCCATGAGGTGATTGAACGAGCGTGGAGAGACGAGGTTGTTCCTGATGACTGGGGCTTAGGCATCCTTGCACCTATCCTCAAGAAGGGAGATAAGACGAGATGTGAGAACTACCGCGGCATAAGTCTCATCAACGTTGCTGCGAAGATCTTCGCTTTTGTCCTCCTCAGACGATTCCAGACTGTGCGTGACTCAAGGACGAGGCCCAACCAAGCCGGATTTTGTGCTGGACGTGGATGCGCAGATCAGATATTCACACAGAGGCGCATTCTCGAATTTCGCCATAGCTACCAACAACCGACGGCCGTCTGCATTGTTGACTTTGCCGCCACGTTCGATTCCGTTCACCGTGAGTCCCTGTGGCGGATAATGGCGCTAGATGGTGTACCGGCAAAAATCATCGCCATGATCAAGGCCTGCTATCGTTCCACTACTGCGAGAATCCTGGTCCGTAACAATTTTTTCCCAACCGTTCGGTATTCGGTCTGGCGTCCGACAAAGTTGTATCCTGTCACCCATACTGGTCAACTACGCCATTGACTGCATCCTCGGGAGGGCCATACGCGACAGTGACGGCGTTGAATTTGAACCTGGACATCGATTGACTGATCTAGACTATGCCGATTATATCGCCTTACTTGCTTCAAGTTTTGCTGATCTGCTGTCTATGGTGGCACGAGTGAACGAGGTCGCTAAATCAGTTGGTTTGTCCATAAACGCTGGGAAGACCAAAGTATTCTCAAGCTGCATCCTCGACCAGGAGAAGGCACCTCTGGGGATTGATGGCTGTCAACTTGAAGAAGTGGACAGTTTTAAATACCCCGGGGCGCGGCTGCTGCCTAATGGACAGAGTAAGGACGACATTGTCTCCCTAATCGATGCTGCCCGCTGGGTTTTTTCAAGCCTTCGGAAATGCCTGTGGAACCGACGTGACCTCTCCATCGCCACTAAGATTCGCGTGTACCATGCATCTGTCCGGTCTTTCCTTCTCTACGGTTGCGAATGCTGGGCTTTGCGCGTGGCGGATGAGCGAAAACTGGAGGTATTTGACCACCACTGCTTGAGGATCATCCTTCGAGTGAAGTTAACCGACTTCGTCTCAAATGAGATAGTCCGCGCTCGCTGCGACAACATCGAGAGGATAACTCAGGCCATCCAAGAAAAACGACTGAGGTGGTTCGGGCAGGTTCTTCGTCGTCCACCTCAGGAGCTCAGTGTTACTGCCCTCGATCCGGCTCCGTTGCCCCATTGGAGGCGTCGAAGAGGATGCCAGTTCAAAACCTGGCTCGACACTGTTTGTCTAGACATGGAGGTGGTTATTGGACCTTCGGTATTCGGTCTCCGTCGTTGTCGAAGGGAATGAGTTGAGCTGTCTAGATATGCTGCCGCGGATCGTCACGCGTGGAGAGGTGCAATTCGGGACATCATCAAGGCCGGCTAGATCAGGCATGATCGCAGCCGTATCAAATGCAAGTACAAGTACCCAAAGCCAAGGCTATCCGGCTGAAGGTGCCCCAGACAATACTGCCACTGATGATGAATCCTGGTGAAATGCCAACGACAAGTAGGGCGGTGGAAAGTGAACCCGAATATTGGTAAGTATGAATGCAAAATACGGAGGACGGAGAGGACGGAAGGCGTATTTATTAATCTGTTCACTAATTACCAAAAGTTCCCCACTTATAGAACGCTGACAGCAAAGAAGAAACGGAAGGCCGCTCGGCAAGCAAATAATCCATCGGAGATTGAACAGATCCTGGATATTATCCAGTTCCCATATGAAGTGCAATATTTACAAGCTAAACGAGTCCTGGCGACGGAAGTCAGATGTCGCTGTCGTAAACCGATGCCGTTGCGAATATTGCGTCAGCACACAGACGGGTTTGTCTTCAGGTACACGAACATATTAATATAATGCATTGCCTTGGTGTAACCAATGTGGTACCAGAAGGGCACTGAGAACTGGTTCGGTGTTTAAGGATAGTCGCCAGACTTTATCGAAGGTAATGAGAACGGCCGTAGCGTTTTTGGAGGGAACAGGTGTGGTGAGGTGCGCAGCTGTGGTCGGCATAGGTGTGACTGCGGGATGTCTGCAGTAAGGCCCTCCTCAACGAAACCAAACAGCTAGGAGGGCCTGGAGTTGAGGTTCAAGTTGATGAAACACTTATAACGCGCCGCAAGTACAACGTCGGACGCTAAAGAAATCAGCATGGAATTTTGGGTAAGAGTCTGCAATTCGATGACCAATCGCAGGCATGTACGATACAAGTAAACGGAAAGCGATATTTGAGCAAGTGAACGATCGCAGCTGGTCCTCCCTAAAGGCCGTTATGAAGAAATGGGTAGCTCCAAGAAGCATAATCGTGACTGACCAGTGGAAGGCATATGGAAGGCTAAGTAAAGAGGGATGCGACACGAAACGGTGAATCATTCAAAGAATTTTGTGAACCCCACCTGCAGAGGGAACACAAACGCAATTGAAACCTATTGGAGTAGGCTGAAGATGAAGTTACACGAACGCGGACCTACCAAAGGCCGAAGGGTATGGGCCCATCTCGATGAAACACAGTACCGACTTTGGTTCGGAGTGAAAGCAAGTAATTTGGCAGAGTCATGGGAAAGATTCCTGTCCCATGTGGCTCAAGCCTATCCGGTCTCAGAAGAGCACTCGGAAACCGAGATATTTAGCAGCTGACCGGAAAGCCAAGCAGTAAGATGTTAATGATGTTGTACACATACTTCAATAATAGCAGCCAGTGGAATAACAGGCAGGGAGAACAACCGAACCGCCAGGTAATTAACATTTTGGCCATTGAAAACTGGTACAGGGGAAGCAGTTTGTTTATTCTGCCATATTCCGCACTGACATAGTGAATTCCTAACTATACCTCGGAACCTTTTTCCCTTTTGTCCCATAACCACAGCCAAAATGCGCCAACCGGGATTGAAATCGTAGTATTTTAAGGGAATGATGGAAAACCTATGAACACTTTAACTGCCGATCATGACCAATCCGAAGGCTACTTCGTAAGTACGCTGACCGATAAATGATGTACGTATAACAGGAAATCCAAACCTACTGCTCAGCGCAAGGCGGCCAAACCGCCCAACCACACGGGCGTACGAAATCCGCCGAAGCGCAAGGAGAAAGGGAGCGAAAGAGACCGCAAAGAAACTCCTAGAGCCGGAATGATACCTAAGCCCGTGAAAGTACAAGGCAAGGCAAAACCCCTATGGTTGGGTAGCTGTTCCAAGCCGTCTGCGGTTGGGTGTAGGGAGGGGAAGTGAGCCGTACGCCAGGCAAAAAAAGCAAACGGCAAGCGGCCTTAGAAGACCGCACAAGAAGCCGGCAACCGGGTTTAACGTCCGTACGGCCAAGCTTTGAAGGGCCATGAAGTATGTTGATAGGACAGGTGCACTGACGGGGCAGACAGGCACTGATTAAGTGCACCCAACGCCTACGCGCCTAGCCAACTCACGCGTTAGCCGCATGGAACGCGGTATGGGAGTCCCCCTCCTGCGATCGAATAAAACCGGGCTGTTTCGTAAAGGGGGGGAATGAAGGGTAGCGGTCTGTTAACACGACTGAAGCGGCTTGCGATTAGAAGCATAATGGAAAGCGTGTTGAATCGCAATCCGCAAATGTTAAGTCTTTCGCCCTTTACTAAAGATTTCCGTGTGGGGGTTGAAATGCAATGAGCCCATATAGACAGTCTTGCAGCGCCTCGTTCTCGTGGCGGTTAAAGTGAAGGAGAAAGTCATCCTGACAAAGCTTGTACACCAAATCAAGCAAACATAGCTGGAGTACCCAGTCGTAGTAATGTAGCAAGCGCGCTAAGTGGCCGATGAGCGGAAATGTGAACGTGAGCAATAAAATGAATGAATTTACAGCATAACCGCCCTTGCCTCGCCCAATTGGCAGCTGTAAGTACATGCGGGAGGTATGGCAATGGCAACACAGCAGCAGAGAAGGCATCCCAAAGCGAGGTCGAGTACATTACACTCCGCGCGGCCGACACGACTGAATTATGTAAGGTAATAAAAGCACGCCTAATGATAGGAAGCAAGTACTTCAACAATGTTGACTCATAATCCCTGGCTACTCGGATTTGTCTCGCGACTAATCTTTCGTAAAGGTCAGGAATCACACGACGATGAAGTATTAGGGGTTGCATTTGCAGCGATAAAATGACATAGCGGGAACCGGGCTTTCTAAAGGTGAAGTCAGGTATGCCCTCAAGTCTTGAAGAAGGAGACACGATCGCCGGGACAAGAGCTTTATTAACCTGACATTTCGGATTCCTACTCCACTCCACTCCTACTTCCCGATTCATACTCCGTGCTTAAAGTTCGCCTAGGCGGAGTAACAAGCCATGCGGGGAGGGCAGAGGTGAACACGTTTCCCAACACCAAGGTCGGTGCGTCAGATTTTCGAGCAATCATCACGCCAACATCCAACGCACGTGCTGAAATTGCAACAATTATCGACTTGAATGTCGGCAATCAAGCAATGATCACTCCAAGTGTCACGATCCATAATGAAGGGAGGGAGCCGTGAATGTTCAAAGGTATGCGTAGCATGGCTACTGCATCCTATAAATACCGCAGCCCCTTGTGCAACAACCACCCGTTTCTGTTTTTTTGTCTCTGATGATGGATTCGAGTAGGAATCCGAAACGTCAGGCTAATAAAGCTCTTGCTCCGGCTATCCTGGCTATTTCTTCAAGACTACTTCATTGGGACTCGTCTCTTCGCTTCTATTGCCAATGCTCTTACGTTCGCATGATATTAGCGTTAATGGGTATTGGGAACCGATCAGTTAGAGTCAAGGCTTCTAGGAATGATAATGTATTGTCGGAAACACTGAGTAGACTTAAGCTAAATTCTGAAATCACTGCTTGGCCAAAAACAGATTTTAGCACTGTAAAATTTCGAAGTAGCAAAGCTAATGGCTGTCTGTGACACATTGACAAACATCCCACGGGCAGATTTCACATCACATACCGCCAACTAAATGTGCTTGGTGATGTGTCTGCATTCATAAAAAAATCGTTTAATTAATCCAGATTCAAATTGTAATTCACCATTTGTACTTTTCGTCTGTCTTGGTGTTGAATGTTAATGCAATCGTTTGTGCGTATCGTTAAAGGGTGACTCATGTCTCCTGTCGTAGACACAGTAAATGCACAGAGTCAGACGTAATATGCACTTACACATTCAACACCACCCAGTTCCACCCATTTAGAGTACAGAAATATATAGCGATCTATTCTAATTTAAGTTCCGTCATTCAACGTTTTTTTGGCATCGCCCTGCGTGAAAGAGAGGTCAGTAATTTAGCGTTTTTTGGCATTGTATTGCCAAAGCTGTACCCGTCAGCCCGCATCTTTCCCTCACCCATCTTGCATGGCGCAGTAAAATTCTCGCATACCTAATTTATTCCTCTAAAATAGCAATGGTCATTGACATTTCGTCGGCATTGTCGATATAAATGTTATTTCTTCCCACAAAATATGTCAAATTGGGCCCAGCAGACCGGAATTCAAACGTATCCGCGCATTCAGAAGTAGACGTATGTGAACAGATAATTACCGCACTGTATCTTTGCACATATGCACAATGCGCATATGCAATTGCGGTTAACTAAATCGTCACCAATTGTTATGGCCAGACCTGGAACGTAGAATTTACGCGAAGAGTGTGAGCACTCAAATTTTGTCCCCAATTCCAACGCGGCAGTAAAGGAGAACACGACCGGTCACAGAAAATTGTATTGGAAAATTGCTGGTCAATTCTAACTGGAAAGCAACACGAATTCATGACACCGTACTGCGGTTCGCCTGCATTTGGTCCAATGCCTTTGGGGAAGAAAATTGTAGACGAACTGACCAACAATTCGAATATACGGAACGATTAGGCGCTAGGGCGGGCCAGCCAGTAGAGAGGCGATATGGCTTTACTGAGTGCGCGGTAGAGGATTATGCATGTGGGCTCTAGTGATTGGTTGATGCTTGTTTTTTTGGAGTGAAGGAAATCTCAAACAAATTTATGTAATAGGAAAACTGCGTTCTACAAATTTCCTTAAGATATATGTGTACGTCCAGGGTCTGCATAATTGCATTGCAGGGATTGACGACTTAGATGCTTCAACTAGTGAAACGGACATTCGTTTCAGATTGAAAGGCGTAATATATTGTCCACAGCGCGTTATCAATCAAACAAATTATCATCTGCTAAATCTCTGTTCATACTACGAATGCCAGAAAATCCAGGTATATTTCCATCGTACAACCGCTCATTAGTTTCCCAACAAATTCATGCAGCAATGACCTGGGCCCTTCAACAGATGGTGATGTACAGAAA